GACCCATACCCATTGGCTGGTGTGATGGAGACCTGGGTTGTTTCCAGGGCAACAGGACAGGCAAATAATGAGGTAGAAAGTGTTCAAAGGTCTCTGTTGTCTGGCCTTTGCTGCTCACTTACTGTGTGACCTTGGGCAAGTGTCTTTCCCTTTCTGGACCTCAGTTCTTCACCTGGAAAACCATGGGGTTTGACCCATGATCACAAAGGGTCCTCCCAGCTCTGGCCTCCTAAGAATTTGTGAAAATTGAAGTTTCTGGTTCAGTGGGTGGAGCCAGAGCCACTGACTCTGTTCTGGCTGCCTCCTCAGGGGACTCATTAGACCCCCGAGGTGGCAGGATCTTGGAGAGCTCCCACTTCCCCACCCCGGACCTGGGCAGGGCCCTTCCTGGGCCTTTGGAGGGTTGCCTGATGTCAAGGTGTGGCCATAGCTAGCATGAGCTGCTCAGCCCTGGGGCCCGATTATTACAAAAGGACAGAGCTTGTATTTGCTGAGCCTTGGGGGGTGGGGGGAGGAGAGCTTGTGATAGGACTTCCAGTAACTCACAGCCCCTGTGAATGCCGATACCTGAGGTTTACCTTAAACCCAAGCAAGTATATTGATTTATGGAGCAAGATGCTCTCTCCTCAATTCCTGCTTCCTTCTGTTTCTATCCCATACTTGTCTGAAAGGAGACAGCAAAGTTTTATGGTATAAGTTGAATCTCAATCCTTTTCCATCCAGTGCCCTCCGGGGTGGACTGGGCAACCATTTACCACGATGAGATTACCCCGTTCCCATGCTTGGCACTGTACTAGCCCTTCACTTCTGAATCTCATGAAGAGTCAACCCTAGGGACCCCTCCCCAGGTGAGGACCAAGTCAGCTCAGGGCAGTCACACCCCCCTGGCCAGACCCTGGGTCCTAGCTGCAGGGGCCACAGGCATCGAGCCCCTACCAGAGCTGGCCGGGCTGTGTGCACCTCCCTGGGCAGCTGTAGCGCTGGTGAAATGCTGGGACAACACACCACAAGCCTATGGTCTCCAGCGTCTTCCTCTGGAATCTTTGGAGCTGGCATAAGACCCTTTAGGACAGCGGTTCTCAACCTGTGGGTCGCGACCCCTTTGGGGGTCGAACGACCCTTTCACAGGGGTCGCCTAAGACCATCGGAAAACACATATATAATTACATATTGTTTTTGTGATTAATCACTATGCTTTTAATTATGTTCAATTTGTAACAATGAAATTGGGGGTCACCACAACATGAGGAACTGTATTAAAGGGTCGAGTCATTAGGAAGGTTGAGAACCACTGCTTTAGGATTTGGGATAGTCACTCCCGACACACCTTCCCCTCCATCTCTAACCTGTGCGCACAAAAGATTTGCCACTGGTTTCTTGAGCTTCTACCCCAACATCTCACTCACCCTTTTGTGTTTACCCCAGTGTTTACCTGAAATTTCTCCAGCTGCAGGAAGCATCATAGCCCCACTAGCTTTTCACTCTTTGGGTGCAGGACTGCAGAAGGGCAGTGGTCAAGTTCATTGGAATTTGTCTTAACCGTCCTTGGCTGATAACTTCATTGCTCTGTGCCGAGCACTGGAGATCCTGTCCTCAGGGAGCTCATGGTCAGGGGAAAGTCATAGGGAGGAACGGGCCGTTGTATTCAGAGCTCCATGGCTGCTGCTAGTCCATTTAGTGCCTTGATGTGAATTAGACATGGTGCCCCTCCCAGGGGGCCTCGGCCCAGGTGAGAATGTACAGTTTTGTGACGGGTGCACAGGCTGGAGTTGAGCCCTACTTGCCCCTGGACTGGTGCCCACCTGCATAGTCATATGCTGCAGCTCAGGGGACTCTCAGACCAGTGTTTCCTCTGGCCTCGTCCTGAGAGAAGGGCCCACGTCATCTCTTCACGCTTCTGGTTGGTTCCACTCCCCCTGCAGCCCAAACATGACCTAGTCCTCTGCAGGCCCCTCTCCATCTGAGTCATGAAACGGGGAGTTGGGGAACCCCACTGGGCCCAGGCACCAGCCCACAGTGTCCGTTCTTTCTGTGCACACATTTGGGGCCTGTGCTGACCAGGTAGTGCCACACGGGGACTTCCCAGTAGGCCATGCGGGTGGCATTTAGGTTGCAGTCTAGGCCGGAAGGAAGACCATGGCTCTGAGTGAAAACCCCCAGGCAGAGTGTCCGTTGGACTCAGCATTCCCGCTGTGAGAAGAGTCAGTCCCAGGGAAACTAAGGACTGAGTTATTTGGTGAGACTCCGCGGGCCTCCTCAGCCTCAGAGCCCAGACAGGCGAGAGCGGGCTCACTTGGGGTATTGCTTCAGCTGGGGGGGTCGCTGACAAGCTGGTTCCCACAGGGCGCAGTGAAAAGCACGCTGGCCCGCCAGTCCCAGTGCCTCTCAGTTCCGACTGTCATCAGCCGGCTGCGTAGCCTTGAGCAAGTCACTCCATCTCTTGGGCTCAGTTTCCCTGACTATACAACGGGACAGCAGTGCCTTCCCCACTGGACTCAAGGAACTGTGAGGTCCAGGTGGGTTGGAGTCAGTAGAGATGAAAGTCAACCCTATGCCAGGTACATTGCAAATGGATGCACTGACCGTGGCCCTGCCACTGCAGGGGCGTGGCCCCAGGTCACACAGGAAGTGGGCTTTGGGGTGGGCCTTCCTCCCACTGGTCATCTCTTGCCCCTTCTCACTGAGGCAGATGTCAACCAGAATGAGGTGTAGCCAGGTCGGCTTTGGGACCCAGCTGAGGGGGAAACCGAGGCACTATTCAGGAATTCCATGCCCACATGGTCTCAGCATCAGGACAGAGAGACAAGACATGGATATTGTCAGTGACGGGGACTGGGCACCGTTGCCCCTCCCAGGCTTGGTGTCACCCACCTCTTCCATCTCAGACCCCACAGAGGCCAGGAAGCCTTGGCTCTGGTCCCAGGTGATGAGAACCCCCAGCCCCAGGCCCAAATCAGTGCTCCATCGAAGAACCCAAGAGGGAGGCGGAATGGAAATTGCCTGCCCCTTCCCTCAAAGTACAATGTCCCCTCCAGGGTCAAACAGGACGGCCAGTGCTTCTTGATGATACTCGGGAGGTATTTGGGCTCAGGGAAAACCCAGGCCTCAGGCACTGAGAGCTGCCCCCAGCTGACCTGTCCCCAGTGGTTCCAGCAAAGGCCAGCTCTCTCCTGCCAGTGACTGGTGACTGGACATTCTCTCCCTATCCCAGAACAAGGCATTAGGCCCCAATCTTGAACTCCTGTAGGGTCTCATGGACATAGGCCTCTACCTGTTCTGATGTTTTTCTTTTTAAAGTCAACAAGGACCAAAACGGACTCCCTCCACACTCGTGCATAAGCCTACTTTGGGCCTGCAACTCGGCCCAGGCAGTTCCATCACTCTGTCCTCCCTCCAGGACTGAAATGGCCTACCTGTGGGGGCAGGATTTTCACCTCTGATACTCCGCTGCAGGGTCACTGCCCAGTGGCTTCAAAGAGAGGTCTCTTGAAGGGGGAGCATCCTCCCCCCATCGCTCTCTCCCAACTCTTCACCCTGAAAGGGAAGTCAAAGCACAGGTCCCCAGGACCCATGATCTGTAGACATGCTGACACAGGGGTTTTCAAACCAGGTGCTGTGGAACCCCTGGTGTTCCACAGAGATTTGCCAGGGGCTGCTAAAGTGGGAAGGGAGGGTGGAGGCGTAGGATAGGTCTCCAGCCCTCCGCCATTCCCACTTCCACCAGAACAACTCTGCTTTTTATCTGACTTGCCTATGGAGGTTTCACCTTCAAATTTTCTTTTGAAGAAAAAAATTCTTCAAACCACCATTCTGAGGTTTGATCTTCGACCAGCAAGCACGGGTTCTATTCTTGCTTTTCATGTTGGAATGGCTCTAGCATCCCAATACAGATTTGTATTGGAACTTGGGTCACACACCCAGGCCCAAGCATTAGCCTATTCTCAATCACACACACACACACACACACACACACACACACACACACACACTTGATGATTTTGTAGCCTCCCCTCCCCCATGCTGTGGCTGGGGCTTAGGTTTCATTTGGGCCGAGCCTGGAGCTCCGTGAGGGTGGGTCCTGACCCTGATATTGGCCCCTGCAGCATGGGGGACGGCGGAGAAAGGAAACAGGCCCAGCTCTCACCCCAGTATGATACCCAGCTCTCCTGGCCCAGGCACGTGGGATGACAGAAGGGACAGTGTGATGGGAGAAGAAACTACAGTCAGGTTCCTCTTTACATACAGCCAGGGAGATGGAAGTCCAGGTTTCCTAAAAGAAATGCTGAGGCAGGACTTGATAGCAAAATCTCTCCTGTGAGAGCAGCATCTGTCCAGAGACTTTTTAGGCAGCAAGTCACCCTTGAGCAATTCTAATAGGATCCCACACCCACATCTGTGAGCAATCAGGTGTGTGGGCCACAGGAGGGTGCCGGAAGGGAGGCTGGTCCCCTACCTTGGAGGATTTGGTCCCAAATCCTCTCCCTGCCAGCCTGTCCCGTTACCCAGGCCCCTCATCAGGGCTGAGGGTGGGCCCTTGGGTGAGACCTAGACCAGCCCCTGGCACAGAATCCTGTCTCACCTGCCCAGGGCATTCTAGGTGAAAGGGTGAGGCTTAGGGCACTGCCGGCCACGCGGTGCTCCACGTTCAGTTGCGTGTGCTCTTGGAACCCAACCTCAGTTTCTCCTTGTGTAACGCGGGGCTGGTGCCAGGCTCTGCCCACCTCATGGAATTACAGAAAGACTCATAGGAGGTGTGGGAGGTGGGGTCACATGAGAAGTGGGAGCCTCACGAACTCGGGGTGCGATCGCGGTTTGTGCTGCAGATCAGCAGAGCCCTCAGGGGAACGAGTGCAGGATGCAGGGTCTCACTGGAACATCTGCTCAGTGTTAAGGGCCAGCCACAGACCCGGGGCGGGGGGCGGGGAGTGGGGAGGGGCCCTTCCTGCTTTCCTACTGAA